AGGGCCGGCCTTGTTGGAGGGAAGGGGGACATTTTCAGATTAGATTCCGTACCGCCTACCTCTCCAAGTTTCAGATTCAAAATTGATATAAAATATTATTTGATAAATACCAATCAAAAACTATGATAAATACAATTAAAGCTAAACATAATACAAATAAGTTGTTCAGATGTAGAGGTTTCTAACGCCTTAATAATAATAAACCGAGAAAATTAGATTCCTGTGAATATTTCATGATAATACGCTGTTATGTGTTTTATTAATTAATTTACAGTGACGTAAATTAAAAATGAATACGAGTTAATTGATTTCGTTTACTTTTTCAAACGTTGCCCCAACCACTCCAAATAAGCAGGTGGCCTCTCATGCCACATATATGTGCTGGCGCTGACTGGAACTGGAGTCATACTTAAAATGCAATATAAATTACGGTACTGTTATGTGTCAATAGGTGTCTGGTTCAAGTTGGTGTTGAATTAGGAAGCTAATCTAAAGTTTATAATTAAATTTCGCTAAACAGTGAATTATATTAAGCCTAAAATGCTTAGTGAAACTGATTCATGAAGTTTAAAAGAATAATTCCGAGTCTGATCTAATTTTGAACATAACCTTAGTTACAAGTCGTTTCCATTAAATAATTTCATGTTATTTTGCAGTTACTTTGAGTGACATATCTGGATCAGTTACGTTTTAGCAAAAGAAAAAATTAAAATAAGTTGAATTCATTGTAACAAGAAACGTTAGTCTATAGACGGTTTGCGTTGATATACGTTAAAGTGATTAACTGTTATTTAAAGTTATGCTAGGCATAACATACTGTCTCGATTGTGTAAAGTTACAGTAAATATAAATCATGAAATCGCAACTTATAGGTTTAACTTTTAACACTAAGTTAATTTTCTTGAATTACAGAATATCTACATATATACTATTACTAATAGTAATATTATAGCATGTGTTAAGTCCGTGTAGGCCCAATGTTAAGCCTAACTTAGGCCGTAGGCAATACCTCGCTCAATAATAAAGTGGGCAGTTTACCAGCAAAGAGATTAAATATTATTAGCTGACTGAGTCTTAAAAACCAAAACAGAAAAATATATTTCTGTGTCCTAACTTTTAATTATTTAAGCTGAACCAGACCTAAGAATATATATATGTTTGCCTTTATTAGCCTAAAAACGTTAGATCCAATAAGAAAATTATAATGGTTTCACTTTGCTAACTTAAAAACTTTTGTCAAATGAAAATTTTATTCTAATGTTGAATAAGCGTTTCTTTAGAGAAATATTTACAAGTGAAATTTATAAATTAATTAATAGTATTCACATCTAAGTGAACAACGTAATCATAAGTAGAATATGAATTTTAAATTTTCATCCATAAGATAAAAATATGAAGTATCAATTCATATGGTATACAGTGCCTGTGCTGGTGAAGATAACCTAGAGATTGTTAGTTTATTTGTGATATGGTACATCACATAAGACAGTTTTTATATTTTTGACAAGGTGATTGATCTTGGAATTAGTTAATCATCAGCAGTAGAGAAGGTTAGCACTTTGCATGAGGCCCCCAGTGGTATAGCGGTATGTCTGCGGACTTACAACGCTAGAATCCGGGTTTCGATACCCGTTGTGGGCAGAGCACTGATAGCCCATTGTGTAGCTTTGTGCTTAATTACAAACAAACAAACTTTGCATGAGTTTAAGACGGAACTGATTTTTATTTTCTCAAGAGTGGGTGTGAAAGGACAACCTTTAAGAACAATATGGTTCCCTTGTGGTTTGTATGTTATGTTCAATGGGACTGTTTAAATTATTATTCGTCTTATTGTGATGTAATGTCGCACAAAAACTTCTGATACACACACAAAAAACAAAACAAAAAACATTTGAACAAGTAAGGAAACTGATAACTAGCTCCCTAATAAAATCAAACAGAAAAATCACCGCAGTTGTTCAGATACAAATGTTCTTATGATTAAGATAATTAAATTCATGAAATCTTATTATAATTTGTCTTGCGCCATGTAAAACCATATTGCCAAATCTTTGAAAGCTGTTTAAGTATTTACAGTTTAGTTACAACTTTCATCAATCTAAAATAGTACCTTTATTACATTTTAAACTAAAAATTAATTAGTTTAACATAAACTATGATAAATGACCAAATATCAGATGAAAAACCTACTTGTTGACAAAATAAGATGATTAGCCTACAACATATACTTAGTTTTATTTATTTTTTTATTAATACTAGTAGTGGTACGTGATGCTGAAAACTCTTTGTTTCTCCTCGGTACGTTGCTGATAAGTCTCGAAGTAATGAGATACTTGCTGCAAGGTACTTCTCTACCGAAAGCAAAGGTTGTGATATTGTATTTTTTCCTTGTTGGTCTTGTGGACATCCTTGAAACTTATCTTCCATCAATCTCTTGTCTGCTAGTCTTTGCTTAGCTGGAAAAAGAAAATTTCTTTTTAAAGGCAGGAATAAGGCATAATGTACAACGTAGCCAGCCCAGCGAAATTGGTGGTTGGTGACAAATGACTGGCCTCGATGCTGGTGGTATGGTTTTGGACAGAATGTTGATATTGGTGTATATGTCTTCCCACTTGTTTCAAAGAATCTTAAAAAGACGGTGTTGAAATTTTTTCTCTAGTGCCTTTAAAATGTACACGTGGTCTAAGTCTCTGATCCATACAGCAAGGTTGGAATGATAGTTTCCTGATATACAAGAAGCATGGTCTGAACCCAAATCTCCTGGTCCTTTTTTTTCTTAGATATCCGAAAACCACACTTGAGAGTCCCAAGGAAATCACCTGTGTGTGGTTTTCTCTATTGCAGAAGGATAGAATCTTGAGAACACCATTCTAATTGGTGGCATAAGTACTTTAAAGATTTATATAAATATACTTTTACTGGAAAAAGAACTACAGGTGATTGTTTGACACTTGGATTTCTTGAAACCGTGCATAGAAAATATAAAAAAAATAGTGAGAGTTTACCCAAATATCTTCAATCATGATAAAATGACACACGGGTTAAAGATATTGTTACGTCTCCGTTTGTTAATTAACTTTCCGTAACTTCGTTCCGACGAAACTTTAGCGACACAAGTTCTTTACTTAATAAAACTGGTTTATTCTTTTCGAATATAACTTTACCGATACACTCAACTTCAACAATCGCGCTAAACAAACGCTATAACAACGAACGTGCTCAATAATACTTCTGACTGCAGATCAATTACTCACTGTCACTGTCTATACACACATTACCATATCTTGCGTCACGTTGTCCCCTCTTATATATACCCGCCTACCCTATC